TGAGCTGCTTTCATGGACATTTCTGCCTGCATGTCAGGAAGAGATTGCTGAGTGAGGACATGTGAATGCTTACAGAATGTATATGGAGTTCAAAGCTATCTATTAAGTGTCAGCCAAACCAGTTCTGATCAGCATTTTATTTGAAAATGCTGCCTGCATTTTGCCTTCAGAGTTTTAGACCTCTCACACAAAAGGCTACAGGATGGCTTGCAGGAGAGAAACACTAGTTTGCATGTCCAGACAATTAATTTTGTTTGTAACCAGGAACTATTTGGTATTTCTTCATTGCTTATTCCTTCTTGGTAATGGAAGAAAATAAAATTCTTTTCTTTGATGTCTCTTTAGGTCGTCTTCAAAATTGCGGCACCATTTTAAATTGTCTTCAGTGTATTCTCATTACTTCCCTGAAACTGGGATTCCAGAAGTGACAACTTGTCATTCCCGAAGTGCTGTCACTGTGGATTATATCTTCTATTCTGCAGCAAAAGATGATTCTGCTGACCAGCCAGGTAAAGACACCAACTTTTCATTTTCATAAATGCTAAACAAGAATATTTGTTTGCTGTAGTAATGATTTCATCCATGGGAAGTTCCTCAGAGGTTCGTGGTAGGGCTTTGAATGTCAGCTGTTAACCTGAGAAGCATGGCCTTGTCAGCTCACCACAGCTGGACTTGTAGTGCCACACAGGGCCACCCTTTTCATCTGAGTGAACATTTCTGTGGTTCCTGTCTCAGCATGGGGACAAGCTGGAGGTACAGGAAAGCAGCAGTGGAAGTGGCACCTGAAAGTACTGCTGTCAGTAATGCAGGCCAGACCTACAGCAAGGCAGCGTTCCCAATCATCTGATCAACACAATGAACACCAATTTGTGGTGTGCATTAAAACTGATAAACGAACATTTCCTGGCACTTCTCAGCTTGTCTTGCAGTAATTTGTGCCAAGTAACAGACTCTTGGCCTTTGCTGTGAGCACGGTCACTGGCTCGGGCCCAGCTGTCACTCTCCGGTTTGCAGTTGCAGCTAAAAGTCACCAGATGGTGCAAGAAAGTCGCGGTACCTCTGTGGGAATTTCGTGAGGGTATCAGAGTGTTTCTCCATGCTTTACTGCTCTGGGACTCGTTCTGTGGGTGCTTCTGAGCAGTTTACTTTCCATGCTTCCCTGAGTTCTGTGTGTCATGCCATCAACAAACATCAGTGCAGTGCTAGCACATAAATGTCTCTGCAGAACTTGGAGGATTCCATTCCTGCTCCCAGTGTATAGTGCCACTGACATTTGTTTTCAGGATATGGAATGAAAACACAACCTTCATCTCTTGTAACTTGAGACTAAATTGTTAAGATTCATTGAGTCGATTCACGGAAGTCTCACTTGTCATAATGTGCACAGTAAATGCTACCTTAATATAAAATGGCAAATACAACAGCTTTGACTGAAAAACCACAATATGGGAAGTATTTAGACTACTTCTGAATGCCATGTAATTTAATGGAGTGCTGTGTGATTGCAGAATGCATCTCTGCACAGAATTTAATCCTGATTCACCTGTTTCTGTATTTTTTGCACCATCATTACATATTTTTTGCATCATTAGCACCATCATTGCTCCAGCAGAGATACAGCACTTTTTTCTTTTTGCAGTTGTTTTTCAAATAGATTGTTCTCACATCAGAGCACAGAATGGAACCAAACTTGAATTTTCCAACTACTTTAAACTAGTATAGTTTTTATTTATGAACTCTTAGAAATTAAACCATGGTTTGGATTTTCAGTTTTCTAATGACCTGGGCCTCTGTATTTAAAGCTGCCAAAGTCTGTACAAGAATTTTAAATGTGGTCTAGGCTCACAGATTGGGTTTTTCCATTTAAAGGGTTTTATTTTAAAATATTCATGCTTTATTCTGTCATGTTTATCCAAACATTTGGTATAAAAAAATCCACCTGCCAGGATTTCCTGTAACCAGGGTTCAGTATCTACCTGAGTCCTGCAGGGCACAGTTTTGCTGAGTGTTCTGAGTGACATTAACCACTGCATGCAGACCAAGCTCTCTGTGGCAACAAACTGCTCCTTTGTAGATATGCAGGTGCTGATAAATGATAAATTTGTCTCAAGACCTGGCGGACATGTGCTCTAGAGCTGCCAAGAGATCTTTGCAGTGAAAAAGCTTTTCTTTAAAGCAGCAAACAGCTGCTGGGTTGTTGAAGGGCTGGAAAGCTGGCAGACGGCAAAGGATGAAGCTGTTGAACTCTCTGAGGAGTTCAGCAGTTGCTGATAGTTCTTTAAAGTTGCAGATACTTTAAAGAACTATCTGCAACTATCTCTTGGGAAGCCAGTACCAGGGCCAGCCAGGAAGCTCTGAATTTGCTGAGAACTTTCACACAGAAAGTATTTCTGTCACAAGTTATAGCTGCAGTTTGTACTGGTCCTGAAAGCACTCAACTCGCCCATGATCAACTCTGCACTCTGAAAGCAAGAGGTAGGGTTGCTGAGTAGTTGTCCAACTTGAATACATAGCTCAGGAAATCTAAATTTTACACATCATGGAAGGATTTCAGTGAAATTTCTCCACCTGAGCTGAAAAAGCTGATTGCTCTTTGATGATGGGCAAATCCAGTGGCCTCGAGTGGCAGGGTTACAGTAATTGTGGAAAAAGTAGAACAACTGAACATCTCCCTGGGCTTGTGCAGGGCACCTGACATGGTCCTGCCCAGCAGCTGAAGAGATGGATTTGGTGGCTGCACCACTCCACAAATTGGCTGGAAACAAACAGCTGCCATCAATGCCTCAATATCCAGGTGGAGACAAGTGGCATTCCTCAGGGATCAGTTCCTCCTTCCTCAGGGATCAGTACTGGGACCAATGCTGCCCCATCCCTGGAAGTGTCCAAGGTCAGGCTGGGTGGAGCTCTAAGCAATCTGCTCTAGTGGAAAGTGTCCCTTGCCCATGGCAAGGGGTTTGGAACTTGATGGTCCCTAAGATCCCTTCCAAGCCAAACCATTCTATGTAAGTGTGTAGTGATTGCAAGGCTTGAGTCGTGTTCCCTCTTGCATGAGCAGTGGGGTGTTCCATCTGGGGAAGGAGGTGGGAGTGGGTTCCTTAGGTAGTTGCAGGAATAGATAGCAGGAGATAATGGAGATCCCTTCTTATGATGAAAGGGAATAGAAAGCTAGAGTACCTTCATCCTTAGGAGCAAAAGTGTCTGTATGACCTGCCTGCTGGGGAACTGTGTGCTTGAGGATACAGAAATAAAATGTTATGTGAACCAGTAACTTTAAAAAGATATTTACCTTCACAAGTGTTAGCTCTGTTTAGCAATGCTGTTGTCTAAAGTAATTGACTGGATTATATGAGGCTTTTTCAGGGGAGTTACAATGAGCAAATAAATGCATTTTCCTTTTTATTTTTATTTACCCTTCCACAAAATAGTGTCCTTAGGAATATTTTGAGCTCTACTGCTGAAACTCTATTTTGAGAAGCATAAAAGAATTTCTGAACTGTCATATTGGTGATTTTGCATGGAACAGTACCAGCTGTGCATTATTGCCGCCATACTGCTTTCCTCCTTCTACATCTGTATGAACATGTGATACTTAGCCCACACTGATAAACATTGCCTTTTGCTTTGTTTTTTCTAACAGGAGCAGAGGATTCTTCTTGTGGAGGTCTGAAACTTCTTGGCAGGCTGGCACTTGTAACAGAGAAAGATCTTTGGACTGTTAATGGTCTTCCCAATGAAAATAACTCTTCTGACCACCTGCCACTGCTAGCAAAGTTCAGGCTTATTGAACGGTAATATCCAAAGGACTTCTCTCTCATGGGATGATTATTATTATTTTTTTAAAATTCAAGCACTGCTGGTCCAGTTTAAATAAGTTTGCCTGCATGCTGATTTATTAGTGTTGTGTGAAGTAGAGTTTCTAAAGGGACTTTTTTTTTAAAAAAAAAGATGGTTAATTTACTTTACCAAGTCTTTTAGGGAGAAAAAGGATTTTACATTAGCTTCCTCTTTGATAAAGAAAAACATCTGTGCCAGACTCCAAATGGCATTATTTTTCATGAATATGTTGTAAATGATTTTTATTGTAAATCACAGTAAAAAGGACTATTCTGAGAACTGTGTGTTTCTTCAAGCAGAGGTAAATGTGTCTTTGTGCCTGCAGCATTTTAAAATTAGTTCAAAATAATGTTTTACTGTAAAGGTGCTTTGTGGTCACTTCCATCTTAACACTTCCGCAAATGAATTTACTCAGTGTTGTCAGTGCAGAGGCTGCAAGATTGAACTTTCGAAGGAAGAAAGGCAAATACTTATGCTTTAAGAATTTGCTGCTTAAAATTGTAAGGGCATAAATATAGGTAGCATTCACTGAAATCTTTTTTAAAATATCTGAAATAAAGCTAAGCTTAATGCGCACACCACATCACAGGAAACTTAAATGATCTATACAGGAGCAAAAAAAAATTGCCCTTGACATCTTAAGGTTTCATACCTATTGAAGAACTGGTGACAGGGTCGGGTTTTTTTTTCCATTTAGTTATTAAAAAGGTCTGGTTCTATCTTGACATGACAGATCCTGAGGTTATTAAATTATCATGGTTTTGTATTTACTCTCACGATGCACTCACAAACATTCTCTATAAAATACAATTTACAAAGTAATTAAAAAAACACCAGACTGCCTGAATAGGAAATGTAGAGGGGCTGGAGACAAATCTTGTAACTTGGTCAAACTACACATAGATGTGTATGTAGAACCAACTTTGAAGTAAGAATTGTCTTTCAGTGTAGTGCTGGAAAACCTGCACCCATTCAGACACATTTGTCTCCCAGAAGCACCTGTGGAACTTTCATCTGTGTTGCCTTTCCCTGACTGCAGACAACTGCAATTAAAGAAGCTCCTCAGTCCATTACAAAATATGAGCACCTGCCAAAGCATTCAGCTTACATTGCTGAGAATTTGGAGAGGGCTACTTTTGTCATAGTCAGAGGTAGTTATAACTGAAGCTCTTTCCTCTGCCTGATAACAGTGAGATTGATGCTGAGGATGACAACCTGTTTGATCCTGGATACTGTCTGGCTTCAAGCATCTGAGTAACCTCATAGATGCCAGCATACCTAGATAGAGGCAACAAATTTCTGGGTACATCCACATTACAGGTAAAAACATAGTTCAGTTGTAGCAACCCTTGCTAAGAGCAAAAACAAAAAAGAAACCACACGTAAGTCATAGAAAAAGACTACCATGATACTTTTATTGAAGTTTCATGCTGTGCATATACAAGAGATGAGAAAAAGCCCAAAAAGTCATGCATGTTTTTCTATACTATTTGATCACTTTGCTGTCACTTGAACCACACTTAAGACAAATGCCATCATAAGCAAGTTTCAAGAGAATATTTCAGCAGAACTTTAGACAAGGACCAAGAGCAATTTGTCAACACACCTCTACAGCATTAAAAAGCTTCAGTATCAGTTAAGAGAAAATAAAGTGTGCTGGACAAGGGTAGAAACTATATTACAACCAATATTTGAGCTGAAGTAAACCATGGTTTCATAGAAAAAAGTTGCAACATATCAGGTAACATTGTGCTATAGGATACAGCTGATCAAGTTTTTCGACATCATTTTATCCATGAGAAGTCATTAAAAAAATTATTTAGGTCACAAGACACTGGGCAGCACAAAGTTTAAAACCAAAACTCTGCAGCTGATGTCAAATTACACAAGAATTTCTACCAAAAGAGTATTTCCCTCTCTTCAGCTTCACTCCTTAAGCAAAAAAATCCTTGCTGTGAACACAGGAGTGGAAAAGTTTAAAGAAAGAGGGATGGGAAAGGCCTTCCTGATATTGATATGGTAAACTTGGATAAAGAGGTGTCACACTTTTGAAAAGTTCTTTTTCTAGAGCTTTTGAACTCTTAATCAGTAGAAAGCCTTTCATTGGCCGTAGAAGGTTGCTGGGTCTTGGCTTTTTCTTCCTGTCCTAGGCAGGTGAAATTCAGTTTTTTGAGCAATGAGGTCTGTGAACAAGCAATTCTTTCCTTTAATATTCCTTCATTTTCTGGCTGATGGAAGTGTCCTAGGAGCTTACATCATTCCATTTGAATAAGCATTACTGTCAGTCTGTAACAGCATCCATCTTCATCAAGATCCCAAAAAAGTCAGTGCCCAGGAGGGGAGGTACACCAGGCCCATGGCAGCATCATCTATGAGCACAGCACAAAGGGTAGAGGCTGGACATGTACAATAATCCAGTTTATATTTAGGCACCTAATGAAACAATTCCAGGAATGCAGCACTCAAATGCTTCCAGAAAACTTCACCAAGTCGAATGGTGGACCCCAGCGAGTCTTACCGCATCACTTGAGAACACTGCTGTCCATCACAGGTCTTTAGCCAAGTCTTACAACAATACAACTGAGCAGGGAGGAAGCAGACAAGCTTGATTTTCATCTATTTCAGTCATACTGCTTTATTCAAGTCTGACTAAGCAGTTGTTAGTACAACATGTGCAGGAAAACTCCCTGCCCAGCACGGCAGGTTTGACTTCAGCCCGCCATGCCTGATTTAATACAAGGTGTCAAGGCGTCACCATCAGAGACTGCCCAGCCTTTCAAAGACAAGGTTCAAATTTGCACATAAATATGTGGAGAGAAAAGCACATATAGACTCAGGTTAGCAGTTCCCACAGTTCTTCCATTATTCCAGGTACTACATATATGAGAAAAAAGCTGACTTGTCTCTACAAAACAGCAATCTCTATGTTTTGTGCTTCAGCGGTGTAGTTCAGAAAGACTAAAAGCTTGTGACAAAAGTATAAAAAAAATTATGAAAGTTTAAAAATTCATTATTCATCAATTATCATCATTTAAAAAACCTCAACCCTTGTGTCTTGCCTAACAAGATGTCAGTGTTAAGAATACAGTTGCATATTACTATTACTTAACATCGTTCGGCAACACACAGAAAATAATAACGGATGTGGCAGTAAAACATCCAGTGCTGTTTTAATACTCCCAGTAATGCTGGGAAACAGTACAAATCGGTTAGAAAACAATAATACTGACAGTTTTGCATATCTATTAAGTCTAGTGAGGTAATACTGATACTTTAAAAACTTATGCCACTTCTTCACTGCTTGCTTTTATTGCTGAATTAAAGATTAATAGTGAATATGATTTTTTTTAAATTGCACTGCACCCCAGCACATCTTAATACTAAGAATATGATTTGTTAGTTACTCCAATGCAACCACCCAGCACAAGGCCAAGTTCAATTAACACTTGTACAGGGAAATTATATTTGAAGAAACTCACACCACTGAAGTCACCTGCTACATGATGGGAGAGAAAAAACATCTCATATCCTGGCAAATCTAATTTTAGGTTCTCTTCACTGATGCCTTTTCTGTAAATTGAAATAAATACTGCCACCAAAAACAATTACCCCCTATTATCTAGGTCAAACTTTTATTGTGAGAGTACATAAATTAAAAAGCAGTCCCATTCCTTTTTCCTTCCGAGGGGGTGCAGGTGAAGTGCAGCGGCAGCAGCGGGAAGCCCTCAGGAGCCCGTGGCACTGGTCAGATGCGGAGCTGGTAGCCAACCTCGTTGAGCGCAGCCAGGTCTCCCTTCTTGTCCAGCACCGCCGGCCTGCGCACAGGGGAGGGAAGAGGGCGCTGCTCACCAGCGATCCTGCTCGGCCGTGCAGCTGGGGAGAGCTCAGCAGCCACAGCGACGGTGGATAGAGCCAATGTTGTCATCTTAAACACAATCCCGGTCAATCTGCTACCGGAGCTACTGTGATAGAGCTATCTGTGTCTTGCCTCTGACAAGCTGTGCCTGGGATTTAGGATGTGAGCCTGAAGCACCCCCTCCTCCTGATTTGAGAGAGCCCTAAATGAGTAGTAAAGACTAGACACACCTCACCTGTCATCCACCCCGGAGCAGGACTCCAGCTTTTAGAACAAAGCTAAAACAGCTGAGAGCAAACAGGCAGGGTCTCTCACACGGGCACTGCATGTTGGCTGTCCCCCAGCCTGCCCCTCCTCCCGGCTGGGTCTGTGTGAAGGGCTGGAGCCCAGCAAACAGAAAACACAGGGTGGACTCCCCTCAGCCTCCTGGCATCCAGCATTCTGATACCACTCACCTGAGCAATCACACACACATGGATGCTGTTGGGCCATTTAAGTATTCCAACAGCCTGGACCAAAGGAAACCTTGAGCTATCAGTCTCTCTCTTTTTAGCAAGCAATGGAAAAGCTCCTGCAACAAAGTTGTCAAACCAAAACTATCCAGCTGATTTATAGTCTGGAAGTGTCTAATCTGAGAATTTATTGCTCTTGGCTGCTTTCACACTAAGCCATGTGTTTGCTCTTCTGAAGACAGACATTGTTTAAAGCACACATTTCTCTAGTACTCCATAGCATGTCTGCTTCCCTGCAGAAACACAGCTAAAGCCCCAGCAGTACAATGGGAGGCTGCTCCAGTGCTTTCAGCTTCTCAGCCCTGCTTTCCAGCTCTGTGTGCTTATTACTCTTTGCTCACTCTGCAGCAAATGTGACCCCTGAGTTTGCTCAGCCAGGCTGGCCCTTATCTCCCTGCTGCAGGCTGCCAGCCCATTCCCACTGGAGCAGCTCAGGGCAGGCAGCAGTGCCACAGGCAGGCTGGAAAGCAGGGAAAGCCCAGCCCTGCCTGTGGCACACTGCTGGGCACACAAAGGGAAGAGCTGTACTGCTGCAGCCCCAGGAACTGAGAGTGTATAGCTCACACATGCATGTGTGCAACAGAGCCTCTGAAATATTTTTAATTGCTCAATTCAACAAGGATTTTTTTTTCTTTTTAAGAGTTAAGACCAGATGCCTGCTGAGAATCTGCACAGCATTTGAGGCATCTAATGCCCTTCTGCCTAGTGGCACATTGAATGAAACCTGTTGCTTTGCCATTTATCTAAGCACCTTTCATAATAACCTCACCATCCTCACTGCAGTACTGCCCTGCACCCTGCCTTGTGTTTGTCTCAATTTAAGTAATTCACAAAAGAGAGGAAGTCTTCACTGGTCTCTCTTATTTGCAGGAAGGGATCACACTTAAAACAAATCACTGTAAGATAGTTTGCATTTTTCCTCATTATTCCTTCAGAGCAGATGGGATTTGACTAACCAGTAAACAAGCTACAAGCTGCATCCCTCAGAGCTTGTGTAGGAGTCAGAGACTAGCAAGAGATGCACTGTATGAGACTTCCAGTGTCCTTCCTTTCCCCTTCTCTCCAATTTAGGGACTCTCTTCACACCTTTTCCTCCCTCCCTTTAATTAGGGTCACAATATGGTTTTAATTAAAGCATGCCTGGATGGTAGTACCTTCTCTGATTATCCAGGAGCGATGGGGAGTCACTGTACACCCATGGTGACATGAATATTTCCACCCATCCACAACTGTCTGCAGCTTTTAGCTACAAACAGTCTGTCCTCCATAAGTTTCAGGAAAAGACAAGACTTGGACCAGAGGCACCACAGATCCCATTCTCCTCAGCTGGCAAATGACCTTATGCCAGACATGTCCTCTGAGGCCAGGGGCCTCTGCTTTACTGGCCCATCAGATCACACCTCCTGTCCAAGGCACCCTGACCACGAGCAGGTGAGCAAGCTGCGCCCAGCTGCTGGGCACACAGCATTCATGAGCTCTCTGCGCTGGAGCTGCCTGATGTTACACATCCTGATGTACTCCTGCCCCCTTGCACACCCTGATAAAACACACTAGCAGAACTTCCCTTTCAGCAGCTACCCTGGGCTGGAAGCACACAAGGCCAGTGTTGCCAGCCAGTCACAGAGCATGCATGTTAAGGTTCAACATGAAATTGAAAGGAATGAGCTGACATTTAGGAGCAGAGATTCTCCAGACTACTGCATGATCCTCCCTTCCAAACTCACAGCAACTCTCCCAAACCCCTCCAGCTCCAGGAGCTCCTAGTGGGGATGAAACTCTTCACTGCCTGTTCCAGCACAGGAATGCAATTTACTGCACCCTGCTGCTTTGGGACTTCAGAGGATGGGCAAGTGGACACAGTAAAGCTTCAGACTCACCAGAGGGATTGACACTGCTCTATCTAATGCTCTGTATCCATGCAGGATCACACCAGCTGTGGGCTAAGAGCACAGGGACTGCTCAGAGCTCAGTTAACAAGCTGCAATTTGCCTACACACCAGCCTCCTAGCAGGCATGCACTGGGTACTGCATTGCCACCTGTCCTGCAGTGTGCCCCACCTGCCTTGCAGCTGCATTTCCAGGCTGAAAGGCTATCCTGGGCTTGCTGGCAGCCACCACTAACATTTCCCTAACAAAGCTGAAGGGGGAAGGATGAGAAGTTAAATGTTTGTGTCTGTGAAATCCTCTTCCATCCTTAAGCACAGTTTCATCCTTTGTCCTTCAGAAACAATCCAGCCAAGATACTCTAGTTCACACTCCATATCCTTCAGTGGGAGATTTCTCCCAGCAGGCCCATATAATTTTACTGTTGAAAAAACCCAAGCTGTAATAACAGCTTGTCATCAGCAGGTGAAGCCTTTCAAATGAATGTGTTATTCTGCCCCTGCCAGCTCACACTGGAGCAAAAGGCTTCTCTCCCCCTCCCCAGCCAGCTCAAGAAAGCTGTAATTACAGCATGTGAGTAAGAGATCCACAAAGAAACAAAACAGTGTTGATAAGCACAGCCATTCTTTAGCTTGGATCCCAGCCTAAAGCCTAGCAGACCTGACTCTTTCCTATTCTGTGTGTAACACAAAGGCCTCTCACTCCATCAGGTTCTCAGAGATCCATCAATATGGAGAAGAGAATACCCCATTTCTCCTCTTCATTTCTCACCTTACGTCAACCGCTGCATGTGTTGGGATTTGTCATTCAGCTCATCCCTGACCTGGGGATGCCATTCCCTCTTCAGGGCTCACAGCTCATCACACTGTTTCTGGGTCCTGCATCTTCTGTCAGGGTGACCCAGGGTTTATTTTAGAGTTACATTTCATTTGCTCTTGATGCAGAGCAACAGAGCAGAACCACTGAGCAAGTAACAGGTGCTGAAGCCACTGCAAGGCCACCTGTACACTCCCTGTCTTTCTGTCCTGGAAAAGCAAAGCTGCCAAGGAGAGATCAGTCACTGCAGAGCAGCCACATGCTCAGCAGCTTTTTCGGGAAACCACCTCAACTGGAGAGTCTCCAAGCCCAGTGACACTCATTCCTCTCCAGAAATACTTGATCCACTCCAGCAACTCAGAAGCACTATCAGAAACTCAAAAATGAAACTGTTCCCCAAAGAGAATCTAGGAGGAGAAGCCTGAAGCAGCTGAGCCCATCACAACTATAATTATCTATGCACTAAACAAGGAGCTCTCAGTGATGAAGCCCAAAGCACAGCATCGTGGATTGCGTGTGAATGAACGTGTAAAAATAAAAGCTTGCTGTGAAATCATCTGCCGCTAACGTATCTTGAAGTTATCTTTAGAAGGTTAGTCTAATGTCTTTGTTAGGTGCTTTAAAATAAATAAATTAGTGCTGAGACAGTAGTCTGGGAGCCTATTTAAAAAGCAATGATCATAAATATGTGACTAATCTGGGTTACGTATAGGCTTTCACAGTTGTCAGCTTCCTGGCATGGAGCACCACAGCTAGAACTCAGCTCTTCCACATCTAAGGTAGGGGAGTCTGAATTGCCAGTGCCTGTAAAAGGCCTGTGGATCTGGAAGCACAGTTTTATCCATTTAGAGGTACTGCATCCATCCTTCCCCACACAGGGGAAGAACAACTCCTGGCTACGACACACATGGAAAGCAGTCTGGGTTTTTTTTAAGCTGATTAAAATCAAAGAATACAATTCAAGTGATGATGTCACACAAGTTTACATTTTCCCTGTCTCTGTAAGCTGCACAGTGCAAGGACCCTGCACGGAAGGGGCCACCAGGCAGCAGGAAGCACTGGAAGCAATGCCAGGACACCAGCAGTACCAGCAGCTGCTGGAGCCTCTCTGCTACCAAAGGCACCTGGTGCAGTTTCCCTGTAAGTGCCAGTGAGCACAGAATTTGTGTACAGCCAAGTACCAGCAGCAGCCTCCCCTGTGCCAGCAGGGATGGTGGCAGGGATACTCACGACTTGTCCCTCCTGCAGGCCCGTCTCTGAGGGCTGCCCTGCCTCCGGCGCGGCGACAGCGACTTTCCCCGGGGCCTCTCCTTCATCGGAGAATGGGCACTGGACGGCTTCAGAATCTGTGGGAGATGGGGAGGGAAGGAAGTGGCCTTCAATAAAGGCAATGATTCACTGCAAATAAAAATTTAAAATAAAGGGCCTCATACAGTAGCAGGGATGGCACACAAAGAGCCTTCAGTCCCTTGGGGCTTATTCAAACCCTGCCCAGGTTAAGAGGAACTCAAAGCTGTTATCATGTGATAGCTGTTCAGGGGCCCCCTGCAAGAATTAGTTGGTGTCACCAGTTCAGTTCCCAGCTGAATACTGTCTCATCCACGGCTTTCTTCAGAGCTGGCAACAGCAAGAGATAAGAAAAATGGCTTTGAGCCTCAGCTGAAAGAAACTCAGGCAGCCAAATCACCATCTCAGCTTTTCTCTCAGCGAACAGAGGTGACCATCTCTCAGTGAGGCTTTTCAGTAGGTCTCCAGCTTGCCCCCATCCTCCAGGCCCTCCAACATCAGAGGGCCCTCAGCATTACACTCACACTCTGGACAGCTTTAAAGACCTGATCCTCCCAACCCAGCCCACTCACAATGGAAGCCCTCTGAATTCTGTAGCAACTCAAGGGAAAGAACAGATGCAGGGCCTTCAGCCTTCAAGGGTTCAGGGCTGTGGTCCTGGCCCCGAGGCACTCACTGGGACAAGACCCAGTGTCACAGCTCAGTGCACACAGAGAGCTGGGCCCTCTATCTAAAACAAGTAGGAAATTCACTAAGTCATCCACCGATGTGAACTTCTTCAACTTGAGCCTGTTTGCTCTCTGGACAGTATTAAAAGCACTTGAATAGAGAAGAAGGAAAAAAACCTCAAACTTAATTACACCAGTAATCAGGCCCATATGCTTAAGCATGGTACAAGGTGGCCCTCAAAACTCCTTGGCAGGGCAGGAAGGATGGCAGCAGAGCATCGATGCCACTGGCAGGGCTCGCCCCAAGGTCAGGGCAAGGGGCAGGTGCCGCAGCCAAAAAGGCACGTGGCTGCCACATAGGAGCCGTCCTTTAGTGGGGAAGGGGAGAGAACCCAGAATAACTTGGACACCATGCCACATACCTCTGCACAAGAGCCAGAGCCATTCTTAGCAACACACCTGCTCTGCTCTCACTGCTGGCAGCCAGCTGGACAGGCACCAGATCTGCTTCCACCACGACCACAAAGAGCTCCTGGCCCACGCCAGGCTCAGAGGCACGGTCAGGGACACCCCTCAGGCCTAAGGGCAGCCAAACCCTGCAGGCCCCTGGCAGCCTGCCTTGTCTCCCTGTTGTTTCCCAATGAGCTCTTCAGTCCAACCAGCCAGCAGGGAAGTCTGTCAGGGAGTTGCTTTACTCGCCTGTCCCACATAACCTACCCTACTCTGTGATTTAGCTGAGAGTAGTAGACATCAGCCCCCTGGCATGTCCTGCAAGGAGAGGCAGCCACTGGCACAGATGTCCCATGGAACCTCCTGCAGCTCAGGTGGAAAACACAGACCCCCTACCTGCAACCAGGCCACTCTTCCCAGCAGTTTCAGCCCCAGCCATGCTGATTCTTCCCAATCACCTTCTTCTGGAGTCATTGAGGAAAGCAAACTGGGCAGCAGGTCCCTGACAGCCAGGGACAAGTATGGGTTCAAGTGTTTCCCAAGCTAAAAGGGAGATCCTTCAACTAAACAGCTGTAAGGGCTTGAAAGCACACCAAAAAGAGAGATGCAAGCACCCCCTCAGCACACTTGATACCTGCATGATTGCAGGCTGACACACAGCAAGGGACAAAGGGGACAAGGATGCAGGATGGGACAAGGCACAGCTGCCTCCTGAGCTCAACACCCAGGTGCACGGACCTACCTTCATCCTCATATCCCTGGCAAACTTCTCCAGCTCCTTCCTGACGTCCGTGCGCATCATCTTGGAGACGTTGAGGACCAGCTGTTTCCACTCGATGGGCTGGAAGCTGTGTGGCTCGTGCGGCACGTACAACCCGATTTTCACTTTTTTCACCGAATGCAAGTACTTTTTATAGGAGTCTTCGAATTCGAAGATGAGGTCGCTCAGAGTCCGGTACGTGAGAGGTTTGTCCATGAGATCCGAGCGCCTGCTCATGCCCAGCGAGCCGTAGCGGCCGTTGCAGTAAATGCCAAGCACCACGTGATGGAAATAGTTCCCTGAGAAGTGGGTTTTAAAGCTGATGGGGAATCGCTCCACCGAGGGCTGCCCGTTGGTTAAGTAGCTGGGGTGCACTGCATCAAGGCAACAATGGTGCTGGGAGAGCAGCAGCTACAATTACACCTGAGAGACTTCCTCAGCAGGTTTGGGGTTTCTAACTGCCAGGCAAAGGGCTGTCCTGTAAACAAACTTATTCTCACTGTGTGAGAATTCATTCATCTCACATTCATCTCTGTGCCCAGATACAGCCAATGCTGCCAAAGCCCATTTCACTGCTTGGAAAATAAATGACTCTTAATCACACTGAGGGAAAAGATAAAACCACAACACTGTTCAGGTCAGCACGACCAAAGACAGACCACCATCCCTAGATCTGTGGAAGCTCCTCATCTGATACCTACATCAAACTCCCACACTTCCAAAGGGAAAAGTGTTGACCTCCCTTTCTTGAGGGTTTGATACAACTTAGTTTACTGAGCCTCATTTTCTCATATCTTCAAATAGTACCAAGAAATTTGGACTTATTCCTCGCCAAGATGACAGTCTGTCTCTCTTTCTGTAAACTGGCCATTGACATTGCACTCCTCATACAGAGCGTTTTAGCATGTTACCCTTGTAACACCTTGCTGAGAGGAACCAAAGGAAAGGTCCAAGATGAATAATTAATTAGATAAGCACAGAGGTATGGTCAGAAAAACTCTTAAAAAGCAAACCCTGTCCCTGGAATCACGGACTGGCCATTTCAAAGGCACCACGTGCAGAGGCCAGGACCAAGCTCTGTGCCAGTGCAGTGTGTGAGCTCAGAGGGGAGCTACGTGCAGTCACCTCCAGGGAGGTTGCTGGCCCGTGCTGGGGAGAGGACAGGCTGAGAATCCCTCACAAGCAGCTTTGCGTCAGCACCTACGTCGCACTCAGCTCCCTGCTGCTAATCCTGGGACAGCTGAAACTCAGCCTGGCTCCACGTGCTGGCACCTGGCCCTGGGACAGCAGGTGCCTTCCCCTCCACAGCTGAGGCCCCCACCCACGCCTGGGGATGGAGCAGGGACGACCAGAAAAGGCTGCAGCAAAACGCTCCAGCCTGGGGCTACTCCAGCCAGAGGCACCTGCTGGAATCCTGGAGCCATCCCCAGAGTCAGCTGCTCATGGTGCTGCCACTACAAAATACCCCACCCAAAAGGCAGCACTGCCAGGATGGTGTCAGGGCATCCTGACAGATGGACGAGTGGGCTCAGTTCCACTGAAGCTGCAGGAACCTGCTTTGTCCAGGATTCTGCTCTGGGCATCACCAGCATCCCCTCTTCTCCATGCCTCATGCCCAAAAAGGAGGTATTTAACAGCAGTGAAACAAGAGCCACCACACAGCTGAGAGGTCTTGGGATGTTACTGTGACCAGCCTTCCTCCTCTGCCTGCACAGCACGGCTGCCAGACAGCTGCTGGGAACAGAGCACAAAAAAAGCCTTTGTATCAAGACTGTAAAACAAAATTTGGACTCTGTTCTGGGTTCTTCCCAGCTTGACACGCTACCACCTCACCACCAGTGTGACTCCCTGGATGCTGACCCCTGCCTGCACCCCACATTTCACCTCTTCTTTCTATAGGGTTGCATGAAAAGCATCCAGTGGCTCTCATCTCTCTCTAAACCATTTTCTCAGGGGGATATTTCACCCAGTGTTTGTTGAATTTCACAAATTCCAACTTTTGGATTCTGGGTAAATGCAGAAACCAACTAATAAGAGGTCCATGAACTGCCCAGAATCTGAAGTCAAGAGCAAGGAGTTTCACAAACAAACAAAAAAAAACAAGTCAGACAAGAAAACCACATTGACTCAGAACTTTTGGAACAGCCACAGGGAAGATTTTCAGTTCCATGTCAAACATGTTTAGCTGTATTCAGTGCTAGATGTCATCAGCTTTAGCAGCCTGGAGAAAACGTATTAGAGGGTAAAGGAACAGACAACACTGTGGGCTCAGCTCATGCTGCACTTCACTGGCTGTATGACCACGAGTCTGGAAGAAGAGCACAGACCTCCCTGCCACACACATCTGTCACCCAGCCAAAGCCACGTGCACCCACCTCCACCAAACACAGACACCCTGCAGCGTCAAAGCCCACCCCAACATCACCCACACATAACAGAAACAGCTCTGTTTGCCTTAGATGGTCTCACTGGATCACTGCTGCCTTAGGACTAGCTTCTCCAAGAAAAAAACCTTCCCACCACCATCAGTAGATGATTTATAATTAAAGATTATAAATACACTGCAAGGGCAGAATGGGGCCCAGTGCCATTATGTCAACTGGAAAACTCAGCACACACTCACCTCATTTAAAAGGTCACCTTGCTTTGGTCCTTAAAAGGTGCATCCTGTGTACATCAAAGTCATGTTACAACAATTTGTGTCCTACAGACCGATTCCTGCAAAAGCCCATTGTATTTATCATTCTGTGTAACTGAAAAAGCACTACCTTTTATTAACACCTAGGAAGCTTTCAAACACCACCACTATTTTTCCCCCTCATTATGAAAGGGTTTTCACTCTGCTCCCCAAGTGCCTTTCTGTTAAGTCCATACAAAGCTTTGGTGGCCACCTGCCACACATACACACTTCTGCCACAAGGGCTCAGAGAAGTTGCAATTTAATCTCATTAAATACTTAGTAGGAGTAAAAGAATCTTTTGAGGGCAGAAATTACCCACCATCAAACAACCCCGCAACAACTGCTGTGGAAATTAACCTTTAGGTACGGGTTGCTTCTGCTGAGGGACTGGTTAATGAGAGTCCCCACCCGAGATGAAATACACAGCAAATGGGCTGGAAAGGCACATCAGATCTTCCCCTCTGTCCCTGCATCATTATTACAGCTTTCCTTTCTGCTCTGCCCAAGGAGAGCTGTATTGTGGCAAACAAAAGGCAAAGCACACAGCAATGCTGCAGCTGTAATCACACTCCTGAGCTGGGGCTGTGACTGCAGCATGGAGAGTCAGGGAGTGAATTACATGTCACAATAGAGAAGCAGTGCAGAGCAGGAGAGGGCAAAAGCAGATGCAGCAAAGCTCGGTGGCCTCCTAATCCTGGGTCTTCATGACAGTCAAGATGATGGAGCCAGGCTCTTCTCAGTGGTGCCAACCAACAGGACAAGAGGCAACAGGGCAGAAACTGAAGCACAAGAAGCTCACAGGTCAGGCTCAAGAGAGTCCTGGAGAATTGGTAACATCAGCCCAGAGTCCAGTCACAATAGGGGCTCTGCAGAGCTCCGTCCTCAGCCCAGGTCTCTTCAACATCTTCATTACAACATGGACACAGAACTCAAAGGAAGTTTGGGGACAGCACCAAACTGAGAAGAGCTGTTGACTCCTTCAAGGGCAGAAAGGTGCTGCAGAGCCCTCAACAAATTGGAGAGATGGTCAACCACAAACCACACAAGGTTTAAGAAGAGCAAGTGCTGGAATCCAGCCCTGAAAAGGGGCAGTGCTGCATGTCTCAAGAGCCCAGCAAGGGTGTTTTTGCTGAAGTCAGGTCAAGATGAGCACAGAAAACTACAGGGTGCCTGGCTGCCCCCTCTCCTGCCACTCCCAAGGGCTGGGGCCATGAGCAAGTGCCATTGAGCAGCAGTGAGCTGGAGGGATGGCCGCAGGCTGGGGAGCAAGGGAGCAGCTCTAGGTCTTAGCAATGCTGAAGCTGCTAGCACAGAGCAGCATGTGGAGCAGGAGGAAAATAAATCTCAAAACCATCAATAAGGCTGCAGTAAAACCAGAAGAGTTGGTTTTCCAAGCAACTGCTCAGAAGGCCCCCAACCACCAGCAATAAACACTCAGAGAGGTTTCCAGCTGGAGTCAGATAGCATTTCCCATGGGTTTGGGATTGCTTACAGTGAGGCAGAGTGCTACTGAGCCCACAGCTGGATGCTGTCTGCAGAGGGCCCAGAGTTCCCCCTGGCAGCTCCACGGTCCATGTAGGAAAGGCTCAAGCAGCTGGTTCAGCTTCCCCAAGCAGGACTGCCAGGGTGACAACCCTTAGACTGAGAAACCTGCTCTGCAGTGCCTGGCTACAGTGAGAGGTGGGACTACCTAAAGATTAGACCATGAAACAATGTAAGCAATTAAAAGCTCTCTCCCGGCTCTTCACAGCCACCACAGGGGCTGCAGACATTCAGCACCATCTTTCTTTCCCATATTTCAGTTAGCAGGTCAAGCTGTAGACAAGCATGCAGGAGGCAAAGAGGAGCACTACAGAGACATCAATATCCTGCAATGACTGCAATAAACTCTCCCCCTTACTGAAAACCCTCACTTCCAGCCCAGGGATGTACCTGCTGGCCTGGAGGAGATGGATGGAGCCAGGCCTCCAGGGGTGATAAACACTATCCACAGACTGCATCCACGGAAGGAACACTGCAGAAGCTACTGAATGATTTCTCACTCCTGAGACACTTTTGCTCTTCTCTTCCTTGTTTAATGATATTATTGGCCAGGGGCTCTAATACCCTGTGTGGGTCTGAGTGTTACCTCACATGAACTGGGAGATGGATGCTGAAGGCAATGGGAGTGATTGATGTGATTTCTGTGATTTATGCTCAGCCAATGTGGACACACTCTGCAAGACTCCCTGAGGAGGGATGCAGTGTGCAGCTTCCCTCTCCCCCTCTGATATTCTGCTCTCCATGTTTTAATAAAGTGAATGCAGCAAAGATAAAATTCCCTTGGCACTTTCTGGTTTACTATTCCCTTTCATGAGCTCAAATCAATTGGATCTTTGCTCAGAAAGAGTGGGCTGAACGCACCATTACTCAGCTGATTTACAGCTGAACTGAGCAATGCCCTGGGGAAGACAGCGGGAGGAATGCTTCTGGTTAGGCTCTGACAAGCAGATCATGTAAGCAGAGATATGAACCCAGTTCAGACAGCTACACAGAGAAAAAGAGCTGTGCAGACTGCTGCAAAATAATACAGGAAGATCTGCTTGAGCTTTCAGTCATCTCAGAGCAGCTGCTTCCTTGGTGTGTGCAGACAGGGTACCTCTGCGCCCTATAAAAACGCTCAAAGATCAAGTGCACAGGCAATTATGCAAAACTTAATTCTGCACCAAGAGGGATTATAGAAGCATTTTATTAGAAGTCACACAGTAAAAGGCAATTTTTAAAAAAGCCAGCGAGCAGCTCCATTAAAGCGACATCTCGCTAAGCCGCTCTGCGCCAGCCGGCCTTTGAAGGAAGGCTCACGCCGAGGGTCGCTCAGTGGGCTGAGCTTTTCCAGTATCCAAGCAACACCCAGGGCCTGCCAGCACACAAATTACAGCAGGACCTTATTTCCAGACACATGGAATGGAACCAGAGGTGTACACACACACAAGGATGCTCAGCTCAGGCCTGTGCAAAGACACTGGCTGGGAACTCAGGAGAGGGTAAGCCGATCTTCACTGGAAAAGACCTGACCTTGGAACGCTGCTGGCCTCACCATGGCTGCATCCAGAGGGCAATGCTGAACATCAAAATCTCATGGCTGCCAAAAAACAGCAAACTTCTCAGTCACAGACATATTTTATGAAAAATCCTTTTGTTAGGATCTTTTCTCCAGAGAGTCTGAGACAGCCAGACTGTGATTGGCCATCAATTAAAAACAGCCACATGAGACCAATCACAGACCAACCTGTTGCATTCCACAGCAGCAGATAATTATTGTTTACATTTCCTTTCTGAGGCCTCTCAGGTTCTCAGGAGAAAAAATCCTAGCAAAAGGATTTTTCATAAAATATGTCTGTGACATGTCATGCCAGAGATGCCTCCCAAAACCCCTCATGCTGCACGTGCATCACAGCACTGCGAGGTTCCATACTGGCACAGGCTCTGTTCCAGCCACTTCCCAGACACACAAATTCAGGGGGCCCATCTCCTCACCACTGCTACACTATTTGTGTACCCACCCCTCAAGCAAAATGCCTGGGGTTTGTAGTGCATGAATCTTGTAAACCTGCATGCTTCTGTTACTGCACCACCAGCCAGCACACAGTCCCTGCTCTCAGACAGAGATTTCCAAGACTGGATGCAGAAGTCCTAGCAAGACAAGCCTGTCCCATACACTCCTCTGGCTAAACCTTCTAAATTTAAAAAAAAAGTTTGCCCTAAGTTTGGAGTTTTTTAATTAGCATCTAGAGACAGAAATATTCATACACATCTTAAGTCTGAAGAAACTTCAAATGACAATAAATAGTATAAAATATAGCTTTTGACTATTTTGCTTCCTTCACTTCTCAAAAAAAAAAAACAAAAAACCAATGCCGAAAACACCAAACTGAACCCACAAGTCAGGCCTGAGGCAAGCAAAAAAGCCAGCAACAACACTTTCAGGTTATCATGGTTATCCATAGGCCATTAATCACCCTTTGCTCTTGTGATGTGTGGAATAATCAGTTCACTGCTAGAAATACAGACTACAGAGCAGCATCAACTCCACCTGGGGATTATTGCCCCTATTCCAATAGTTTGGAACACAACCCTGACACTAGGGCAAGCATAACAGATCCACCAACATCACTTCAAGGGAAATCAGTTAATATAAACTTCTTGGGCTTCAGGAAATCTTTCAATACTGTTTTTCCCAGTATTCTCCTGGACAAAAGATCCAGCATACAGCTAGAAAAATACAGAACACAATGGGTAAGGAACAGGCTCATGGGTCACACACAAGGCTTACAGCAAATGGGGTCACACCAGGCTGGCAGCCACTCACTAGTGGGGTTCCACAGGGCTCCCTTTTAAGGCCAGTTCAACATCTTCATAAATTACTTGGATGCAAGACTCAAAGGTATGCTTGGTAAGTTTGCTGATGACACAAAATTGGGAAGAGCTGCTGACTCCCTCAAGGGCAGAGAGGCCCTGCAGACAGACCTTGACAAATTGGAAAGCTGGGTGATCACCAACCTATGAAGTTTAACAAGGGAAGTGCCAGATTCTGCATCTGGGACAGGGCACACCCAGCTGTGCGGACAGACAGGGGAATGAGAGGCTGGAGAACAGCACCACAGCGAGGGAACATGAGCCAGCAGTGCCCTGGCAGCCAGGAGGCCAGCCATGTCCTGGGGGGCATCAGGCACAGCATAGCCAGCCAGGCAAGGGAGGGGATTGTCCTGCTCTGCTCTGCCCTGGGGCAGCCTCACCTCTGGTGCTGGGGCAGTTCTGGGTGCCACAACATAAAAAGGATATAAATCTATTAGAGAGCATCCCAAAGGGGGCAATGAAGATGGTCCTTGAGGGGAAGCCCTACAAGGAGTGGCTGAGGTCACTTGGCTTGCTCAGCTTGGAGGAGACTGAGGGGAGATCTCACTGCAGTCACACCTTCCTCCTGAGGGGAAGAGGAGGGGCAGGCACTGATCTCTGCTCTGTGGTGCCAAGTGACAGGACCCAAGGGAATGGCCTGAAGCTGTGTCAGGGCAGGGTTAGGTTGGATATTAGGGAAGGGTTCTTCACCCAGAGGGTGGCTGGGCACTAGAACAGGCTCCCCATGGAAGTGGTCACAGCACTAGGCAGCCTGACAGAGTTCAAAAAGCATTTGGACAACACAGGGCCTGAACCTCCACAGTTTTTGTGGGTCCCTTCCAACTCAGAATATTTTACAATTCTATGATTTCTCCTTCTGGAAGGGCTTTGAAGGGGGTTTGAGTCTCTTGTTGACACCAAGCCCCTAGGACCCAAATCCCTCCAGCTCATGCAGAGCCCGTCAGCATTCCCAAGGAAACTCTGTGAGCCAGAGCCACCTCTCAGCCTGCAATCCAAGGCCTATCCCTGGCACACATTGCCCAGCCCATGCCCTTCCCAGCCCCAGCAGCCATGGATTCTCACAGGCACCACCTGCCAGGCTCTGCCAGCTCCCTGTCCCACGGGAGGGGGCAGCAGCAGCCAGCACAACGCTGCAGAGACATCCCAGGAGATTGCTTGCTCCGGGGCTTATTTTCAGTTGGGATTTGTTTTAAGTGAAACTTGATCATTTCTGACAAGATGTGTCTGGCAACCTGTTCCTGCAGCCCTGCCTTGCCCTCCTCCAGTGTTTGAGGATGGTGCAGGCTGATTTATCAGTGACAGCACCGGTGGGTGGAGAAGCAATCAGTGTCTAAATGAGTGAAGAGTGAGTGGGAAGCAAGCATTATGTGAAGGGGAAGCTCCAATGTTTAACTGTAACATACACATGTTTCTGCACAAAGCACAGCTGCAGGTTCAGAGACAAAAGCTAAACATCAGACAAACACAGAGCAGAACCCACCTCCTCGGGTTGGGTTGGAGATACCAAGCTCCAACAACAACCAACAGAGAAATGCTAACACAGAAAACGAGGCTTGTGCAGAAAGGGACTTATCTGGGCACTTTGGGTCAGATCCTGACATTATGCAGATTAGCAGGGCAGGAGGCAAAGCCTGCATGGCCAAATCACAGCACTCATGAGCTGGCACACAGCATCCCAACTCCCACCTACAATTCCAGGCAACTCAGCACCTTGGTGATGAATACCAGGGCAGCTCCCCAAGCTGCTGGCACTCACCTCTGGCTGCAGCCCTCTCAAACACCACCTGTGAGGGGCAATGCATTCAGCAGAGCTGCAGTGGAAAAAGGCACAGGCACGAGAAAGGATACATCCCCAGGATAACTGCTTCAAGGCATTTGATAGGTAAGGACTCCCTGGTCATTTCTCTTGCTGTCTCCATTAACCTAGAACAGAAACAAAACAGTTTTCAGTCCTTCCAGCTAGAGCAATTGACAGGAATCAAAAGGTCCTCTCATACACCAAGAGCCAGGCACCTCCAGTTCTCATCTCAGCAAGAGCTGGGGAACTTGATTCTCCCCTTAGTGACTTGTTGGAGTCCTGTTAACTTCTGGAGGATGACTGGGGGGGGGGAGGGGGAAGTAAGAGAAACAAAAAGACTTGAAAGTGAATGGGAGGGATGCAGTCCTCTCTGCATCCTACAGCAACTCCCTGAGCATCACCTCAGACTGTAACACAAAGCCCACTGAACTGCACGAGCTGGCAGTCATGGAAATCCCAGAGCAGGACTGAGTTCAGCTTATTTTCAAAATAATCCTGGCTCTCCTCTGCAGGAAACACAAACAAACAAACAAACCAGGAGAGAGAGGATGGTTACTGGCCCCCTAAAAGCTACAAATGCCTGCATAATCCCATAGCTACAGCTGCAGACCAGAATTTATTGCCTTTTTATCAAAGCCTGCACTGCAGAAAGCTCTACCAACACAGACACTTCACATCCCTGCACACTGAGTTATTGTCTTGCTGCTGTCCCACATCTCCTGTGGACAGGGAAAGTGGCAAAATCCACACAGTTTCCTGCAGGACTGCAGGAAACTACACGTGCCCAGGATTTTGCAAGTTCCCAAAGTTTAGGCACAATCTAGACACCATCTCTGGAGTACAATTATTTGACAGGGCCAGCACTGTGACAAGCAAGCTCAGGTCAGCTGAGAAAGCTGCTGTGCCAGACTGACACTGCACTATTAACCTAGTAGGCAACCCATCCCCTTCCACAAACAGATCCTGAAATCCTGGACAGTTTGAAAAAAAAAAAACCAAAAAAAAAAAGGAAAAGCCTAAAAAAGGCCAGAAAAATCACATCCAATGCCACACCAAAAAACTGCCCCCCCAAAAAAGCACAGCTGAAAACTCAGCCAGAGGATAACTTTTCTTTTGCAGTCTTCTCTATCCATATCCTTTCTCTGGGAAGAGCTTTGTAAACAGATCCCTACACTAAGGAAATACAAGATTAAATGACAAAAATATTTGTATTAGAGAAGATTATGAAAATATGCATCTGAAACCATCAGTCTGTTTCCCCCCCTTTCTGATTCACCCACCTCATGCATTTTAAACCTTGTGTTGAATGCAAGTGACAACAGAGCTTCCACTGCTATTACAGCCTGTCACAGCCATTTCATGTCCCATTTATCCAAGTTAGAAATTATCTTTTCATTTGTAAACAACCACCCCTTACACTGCCTGCAGTTCAGAAGACTAATTAGAGTTTGCCTGCCTCCTCCACACTCACAATCAGGCACAGAACCCCAGAGAACTGCTGGGAGCACAGAGCAGCCCTGGGGAGGGCACACAATGGGGCTCCTTCATCGCCCACAGAGGCTCCCACTGGTCACTGCAAAGCCCTGTCTCTGTCTCAGATTTGTTATGTGCAGATGAGGCATGGGAGGTATCCATAAACAAGATAATCCACTGGATTTCCTATCTTCTAACCACAAGGGAGTCACAACAAAAAAAAAAAAAAAAGAAGAAGAAGAAATTATGATTACCAATGTGCATCATGAGTTGTAAAAGCATTTACCTGCAAGCCATTTGGTGTGACCTGTGCCTGGTTCACACAGTCTGAGGGGCAGGGGCAGGGCCAGCAGCCCCTCCTCAGGCACACCCAGCAGCCTGCACCTGGATCCAGGGATGCAGGGGCACCTGGCAGCTCAGAGGCACCACTGGAGCAGGACAGTGGGTGTTGGGATCTCTTGCTGGTCAGAGTGACTCTGAGAAAAGTTGGAAAGTCTCTTTTCCCAGCCCAGCACTTGAAAAAGGAGTAAGAGCTCTTCAGTTCTCGGTCTCAAGGTTGTTTATTGTTTCTTGTCTATAAAAAATTTTCTCCTGCCCTGCTGAGGTCAGCTCAGCAAGACAGTTTGAGGCACTCTGTTTGCCCCCAGGGCAGTGTTATGTCTTTATACTAAAAACTACGTATACAATGTCTACAATTACTTTCCAATACCTATCACCTATGTTAGACAGTGAGCTTCTACTCTAAACCAATCTGTAAGTGCCAACATCACAGCAGAAGATGGAGGCCAAGAAGGAGAAAGGCTGGACACACTCAGTCCCTTCCATCTTGCTTCTTGAACTCTCATACCAAAAACCCCAAAATCTCCTTTTCTACTCCATGATAACTTCACTAATATTCTACTTAAACTGTTGTGGCTTGCAGATCTTCATACAAGGTTGGTAACTTGCTCCATGGGCCATAATCAAAACCACAGGCATCCTGGGCTCTGTGTCAGGGTCTCTGAGCCCCCTGGCAGGGGTCTTGGCTGCTCAGGACAGCCAGAGGGATGTCCTGGGTTCCCACAAGTGGGGAGGGTCTGTGAGAGGGGAGCATTGCTCAGGAGGCACCACCAGCTGTCAGCCAAGCAGCAGCCACTGCACTTCTGGGCAGGCTGTGCCCTCACACACAGCCCCCCTGGACCCCTGGGAGCACTCTGCAAACAGTTTGCTTTCTCTCTGCATTTCCAGCACAGACCTCAGGGTTTGTGTGCATGACCCAGTTCAAGAGCCACTGAGAGTCTCCTTCCACTTTTAACAAGCTTGAGTCAAAGCATGGCCTTGAACCCTGTGTTTGCATTGGAAGCAGAGCCCCTGGAGGATCCCCAAGCCACTGCTCGGCCCAAGGTAGCACAAGCCAAATCTAAATCACTCCCCACGGATTAGTTTTCAGTCTGCTTTCAACTGGCTTCTCAAAAGCCTGGGAACCCACCAGCTAATCTATCCTATACTTAACCTTGCCTCTAAGAAGGTCCTCTAATGTTTAAACTAAATCCTTCCCTTTTTGCAAATCAAATCAGGAGCTGTTTTGGCTCTCCACAGTGGGCATGGAGACCATTCATCATCTCTCCTCTTGCTACAGACATTTGTATATGCAAAAGACTGTAATCTACCTTCTCCTCTGTAAAAATAAGAAAGCAGATACCAATTTTTATTTAATTCCTCCCTCACTCCCCCTGAGGTTATGATTTTAGGACAATGTTTCTTTCAATTTTGGAATCCCTTCAACCAACCCACTTCTCACAGTCCTTTGGCTAAGCCCACAACAGTACAAACAGACCAATTTCCTTCTGAATCCATCTTTCAGTGCATATTTGCAACCAAGCCAGCATGGTGTTGGCTTTTCTCTGTTGGCCCACACTGAATTGGGTTCTGGTGGTTTTTTGTTGGTGTTTTTGGTGGGGTTCTTTTTGTTGGTTGGTTGGGAGGTTTTTTTGTTAGGGGTGGGGATTTTTTGGCTGGGCTTTTTTGGTAAATTTTGTTTGGTTTCTTTTATTTTTTTAAGCTTGTCTTCTTCTTTGCCAAACTCCACTTTTGCTCTCCACAGCTGGCTACTCCCACACTTTCCTATACATTTGCCCTCACTAAATTATCTCCCATTTGTTCCAGCCCAAGAGATCACTCTGAATATCCCAGTTCCACTTTTCAAAGCCTTGTCACCTTGTCCAGCCTGGACTGCATATCATCCATCATGATACAATTAGTCCCACCCATACCATTAAGGAAAAACTGAGCTGGGCCAGACACTGCACACCTCTGACAATCTCTGCTAGGCCAGACTGGTAAAGTGCCACTTCCTACGTGCTGCCTTTCACCAAGTTGGGTCCTTCCATTAAATAGCTTTATTTAGAATCAAGGTCCCTGCCTTATCTGCAGAGATAAGATGTGGCCTTATCAAAAGCCACACTAAAACAAGGAGTTATTACATCCACGTCTTCTCCCTTGTTGACAAAAGCTCATAGAAGGAAATTCTCAGAAATGAACAGTGGCAATGATATTAATGTTGCCTTTCCCTTCCCTTGAACTGCAGATAAAACTCAAAGTTCCTAGACTTATCTTTTGCCTTATTCTTTTTAAAGGCTGCTATCTTTGCCTTCCCCAGCACCCACCCTCCCCGCATTCTCTAACACAAATATCAATGGTAAAGGCTGCATGTCAGCTCTCTAAGGGATTTATGGCAAATGACCTATGGCAAATGACACAGCATTCAGCTCATGTGAAAACAGCACATTACAGGTGCTCTTTGATTTGTCCTTTCCCTCTTTTCCCTCACTCCTGAATTCCTATCACACTGTCTCAGACGTTAATAGTGACCAGAAACTATGGAGTTAAACTTGTGAAAGGAGATTTAAGGAAGGCAGAAAAGAATTTAAAAACAGCATCAAGCATTTCAATTTCCTGCCTTAGCAGGGTTTGCTTCTGGGATTTTCTTTAAATCTTGACAGTTACCTGAGAAGAGCCCACATATATAGCTATTCTTCACAGTCATATACATCAGACAGCTGGGAATTAGCCCACAGTCACCCTCTCCCCACACTCCAGTGAGCCCTGGGGGCAGCCCATCTCTTCCAGGAGAGACTGCTACAGCCAAAGACAGCACCCTGCAGCTCCCCTCCTTGTGGCATTGACACCACTCTCTTGATGTCTGCCAGGCACATCTCTATTCCAGACCACAGTGAACACTTCTGCCTCTAACAAATGTAGCCAACAGGAACAGGCTGCTTGTTCCTCCCTCAAACCTAGTCCTTGGCAGATAGTGATACTTCCTTGTTAATTGATTCAAATTTCTTTCAGTGTTTTCAGGAGCCTTGCTTCCTGCAGTAAGAGAGGTCCTGAAAGGAGCTGACTTTGCCTCTTCAGGATGCTTTCTGTTCAAAATGGCAGTGCCTAAAGACAGCTCATACGTATCATTAATTCCTTTTGCTTCCAGATTTTTCACTTGGGGCACCCAGTTTCATATACAGGTTAGAAAAAGCTTAAAACCATTCAGCATGCCCAAAACTGGAGGATCTCACCAGCTGGCACCGATCACACTGGAGTCCCCTTCAGGATTGACCATACTTAGGAGAGGCTCCCCATTACCTTCACCAGAGGGAGTCCTACAAAACTGAATAAATTTATTAGTGAGATCTTCCAGTATATTTTTCAACAAAATTCTCCTTGCACAGACCCATATATTTGCATGAGGTCTATAGAAAAACTTGGGAGAAGGAGATTTTAAGGCTCCTGACAGTTTCATTCATGATAACGAAGCCAAGAGAGAAGTGAAAGGCACCAGCAGGAGTAAAAGGAGATAAAACAGCAGAGCAGATATGGATCTTGTGAATCCTCTCAAAAACAGTGTTGCAACAGCAAAAGCATTTCCACCACATGCTGAACACCCCATGTATCTGTAACATTCCCTTTGTGAGAGAGAGAAGCAGATGTTCAAATGCCTTCTGCAGCCTATTGTCTGGAAATGCTATGAGCCCATTTTTCTTTACAGCCTCATCAGTGTTCCTTAATAACATGGTGTGTGGAAACAGTATTATTCCTCATCTCCCCTTCCCCATTATTTGGTTGCATCCTTGCCACGTGACGGCTCCTGTCGTGCTCCTTTCCTGCAACTGATCACACATCATATCTGCTGCCACTGAAGGGCTCTCCCTCCTCACAGAGCAGCCTCTGGGCTCCAATTCCTCACAGAGCACAGAACAACCCAAACATCAGTTTCTGCCTCAGCTGCAGGTCCCCCTGTTCAGCTGGCACTTAACTAGAGGGAACAGTACCATACTGCACCTCCCTGATCCTCTGTGGAGGATAAAGAGATTTGTTTCTCATCCTGCCTCATGCCTGCATCCTAGAACAGAAGCTTCCAGAGGGCTTATCTCTCCTTGCAAACCCAGTAGTAACAGCTTGTTGACACTGAATTCACAGTTACAGATATTACTAGATATCCAGACATATACTTTTTTCTAAAGCTCTTACATGATCCAAGCCTGGAAGCTTTAAAAAGGAGGACTATGTCAGTCAAATGTATCATTTTTGATCAGACTGGTCGTACCAACAAAAGTCTAATATAGGTTTAGCCAGCATAATCCAGTATGGGAAAAGGAGAACCAGTCCTACTGGTGTCTGAAACATTCATATCACATGCATACACACATGGATCAGCAGAGCTGAACTTCACAGAGTGCCCTTTACCTATTCAGTACAAAAATGCACATCATGAAGCCTGTGAAGGGCACTCTCCCAGGATACTGTGTAAGCAAAGCACTCCTACAGTGCATGTAGCTACACCCATAAATTTGGATTTTATGCAAATACAGCCAACTCAGGAGAGGTGAGACCCAGGCACATTTTCAGACACAGTTTGCCAGCACAACAAGAACAGCACACCAAGTTTACAGGTTCACAGCTCTGCCACCCTGACTCACACAGCTACACCAACAGAAATCTAGCATTGCTAAAAGTGCTATCTGTAGTCTAGACAAATCCACGTGGTGGTCTGGCACTCTAAAATTCAAGTTGATAATAAGAGTAACTTTTTTAAAAGAGACTGTAAATACTGAGTTATAGCAAGACTATATCCCTTAATGAGCTCCCATAGATAATTTATGCTGTTCTTCCTATGCTCAGCCATGCACTTTATTTTCTCATACATCACACTGATGCTGGCAGTAAATCTCTACAATATCTAGTCTTCCCTCCATAATAGGAAAACTCATTAATATGCCCCAGCTTCTTTAGGACACTTTGACATGAATTTATGAATATTCAATTTCCATCTAGTACTCAGCTTCTTTGTGTCCCGCCACTGCTGTCTTGAGGAGAGGCTGCCAAAGATTTTGTAACACTTTGAGCCCTCGCATTATGAAATCAGCAATATGTTTAGTGTCAATAAAGCCCTGGGAACAGCCTCATTTTTCAAGAGGCAGTGCAATTGGAGGCCTTCAGCATCTTGCCCAATCCACTTGCCCAAACACTGTGTTGCAGCAAACGAGGCCTTTCACACCACAAAAATTGTCACCTCAGCACAGGACACCTGTCATTGCCATGCTGGGAGCAGATTTCTTCCAAAGCAGAACACACCTCCCAGGAAAAATAACTTGGAGGTGTGAGTGATTTTTCAGCTTTGATGAAAACTGGCCAGATGAAGGAAAGGGAAGCTTTTGTGCACACCTCAATACATTATTCACACAGAAACACCAAAGCTGGGGTTGGAAGGGACCTCCAGAGACCATCTGCCCAACCCTCCTGCTAAAGCAGTTTCATTTAGAGCAGGTTGCAGAGGTAGGTTTTGAATATCCCCACAGAAGGAGGCTCCATAACCTCTATGGGCAGCCTGTTCAAGTGCTCTGTCAGCCTCAAAGTGAACATTTTCTTCCTCATACTTAGATGGAACTTCCAGCTCCTGCCCACTTCTCCTTGTCCTGTCACTGGGGACCACTGAAAATAGTCTGGGTCCCATCCTCCTGACTTGGCCAGGTAAATTTTAAAAGATCTGAAATCTAAACCAGAAACTGTAAGTTTCATAAAAACAACAGGAATTTTGGTTTCATAAAAATGACAGGAACTTCAGACAGCCTTGCATGCATTCTCCTCCTCAAAACTGGAGAAATCAAGAGCAGGCAGGTGTTAGAGCCTACAGCAGAACAGCAGATCTGGGCAGCAACTCGTGCTCCTGACAGCTCCACTCTTCCAGCACTCCCATCCACCCAATCCAGGAGCAAAGCAGCACAGCCCTTCTTAGGACTTTATCCTGTTTGAGTCAGCACACACCATGCTCAGGCAACTGTGCCTGGAGAGCTGGCAGCCCCTGAGGGGTTGGACACTTCCAGGGGCACCATCCTTAACCCCACAGAAGTCCTGCCACCCCATTCCAAGCAGTTCCAAGCAGCAACAAGAGAGGAGTCAGACACTGGCCCCCAAGCAATCTCTAAGGCAGATAAACAGAGGAAATGGCTCCACTTGGGAGGTGATTCAAAGCCACAGGCACATATCCAGCTGTGAGCACTCTATCTGTTCCATTCCAGGAAAGAGCACCATCCTCTAAGCCAGGCTTTTATCCAGCCCAGGAAGACAACAACCTTTTAAGTGGTAAGTGCTGAACATAATTCATTTTCATCCTTCACTTCCTTTGAAAAAAGTAATGGGACAAATTTAAAAATGAGTGAGCGGCTTGAAAATTGGTTTAAGCTTCTGTAAACTCATCTATCATTCGAGGCACAAGATTTGTTTTAAACAAGTTCCACCAGAGCAGTGAACATTAGATAAAGGAGGTGAGAAAGATTGCTGTCAGCAAGATGAAAACCTGAAGCACAAAGCTGAGATGGGAACTGGAATTTTAGAGTGAGGGACCATTAGTATATTGACAGAGAAATGGAAAGGGCTAGGGACAGAGCAGTCTATGGGAGTAATTATACTCTGCTTATCTTAATTTCACCCTAAAATAAAAGCATAATGCTGTCAACACCCTTCCTGCCCTAACCTGCTAATGTATTAGGTTCTGTTGAAGAGCTGTCCCAAGTATGATGCAGTTCTAACACACAAGAGACCCCAGCTCTCTGCTGCCAGGCTCTCTGGGCACATGTTCATAGTTGCACTGCACAACTCATCACCAGCCAGCACAAACCCACCACATGGATGGAACAGCAACATGAGCAGCAAGGCAGAAGCACAGACACAACTTAAACAGTCCATTGTGAGCCTCCAGGGAAAACTGCTGTGCCCAGGATGTCCAAACTCCTGCTGCACTTCACACAGCTAATCCCTTCCTACACCTGCAAAGGGCATTTCAGCACAACCAGAATATCAGGACTTACTCAGTTTCCAGAAAAGCACCCAGCCCTCCCAGCCCAACACCAATAAGCAGAGGGAGTTTTCCCAGCCCTGTGCACGCAGCTCTGGCCTGCAGCCAAGCAGCTCCCACACAGCTGCTGAGTAAGAGCAGCCCTTCCACTCGATGGTCCTTTTGCCATCCCACAGCAAGCTGGGACACTCCTTGCAAAGGAGCAATAGAAGGAGCTTTGGCTCTGCCAGACGAGCTGTGGCACAGAGGACACAGCCCTCCCATGCCATGTGCTGCAGTGCTGCAATGCCAGCTGATCAGGGACAAGGACCCCAGAGCAATTCCAGTGGCACTTACCCACTCAGAGGTCTGCTCTTTCTGATCTCGAAGAACTGTGTTCCTGTGTGATTGTATCTGTATTTTGTCTGTTAAGGGAAAGGAACTGGAACAGCCAAGCAATAAAATAACACTGCTGAAAAGGTGAATTTCAGTTCTGAGCTCCTGCTGAAACACAAAACAGGCAGTAAAAGCCATTGACTCTCAGATATTAAACACTTGGCATGTAAAATAAAGCAAAACTTGTCTTTTTATAAGACTTATTAGCAGCAGTGGGTGCAGAATCATGTATTAAGGTTGACCATCTAAAATGACACTCAAATTCAGCATTTGAAGGTTATAATTCTCTTTTCCACTAGGTCCTGCTCACTACTAGATTGCAAGTTTGGAAAAAAGTCTCCCACATGGGCAAGAGAAAGCTTTCATAGCCTACCCAAACCAATCAACATAATCCATGGTCTGAAAAAACTTTTTTCCTTTAGAAGTCTTTTAACTCCATCAGCCTCGTGGCTCACCTGTGACCTGTCAACCAAAACCATTGCAGGTGCATCCCTTCACACTTAGAAACCATTCTCTAAAAAACACAATGCTCCTGAAATGAAAACAACCAGCTATGTGCAAGCCAAGGTCATTAGCTAACACTAATTGCAGAAAAGTTCATCACAAATGATGCCAGTAGACAGTCAACCAAATCTCAGCACCACTTTCCTAGAAGCACAGGCTGCCACACAGCAGCTTCAACAGAAGCAGCCTCTTCCCTGCTCCTTCTGCATTTCTGTCCAAGCAGCAATGCAATAAATCAGACCAGGAAAACAATCTGTTCAGTAAAAACAAAAACAAAACAAAAAACCCAATTAAGTTGTGTAGTAAAAAAAAAAAAAAAAATCACACTGACTGCCCTTATTTTTGCTAGGTTACTTTTCCAGCTGAATCTCCTTCCTAACCTAGTACCTAAATTCTATTCCCATCAGAATGTCCATGCCAGTAAAACTGATGCTACCAGGGCACTAGCAGGTGACCCCATGGAAGCTGAGAGTTGCTTGCAAGGTATAAATAGCACAGCTGCTGGATGTATAACCATAGCCTAAATAAAAACTCCAGCTCTCACCAGGATGCTCTGAACTGACTTCAATTAGAGTTCAGAGCTTTCCACAAACAAGGCTTTACTTCCCTCCTGCCTTCAAAACTAACTCATGACGCCCTCTCAGGGTGCTCTGCACAAAGCACACATCATCCTGCAGCCCTCAAAGGAAGCCCAGATGCTGCTCCCCAGCCCCCTTTGAAGCTTTTCTGAACACAGACCCAAACCCTGTGCCTAAGGCCTGCTCCTGCTATGTAGCAGAATTTCAAATCCACTGTGGGGCAGGTGGGGGTAAGGTCACTTTTGGAGCTCTGCATGACACGGTATCCTCTCTGGCACAACCCCAGGGAGCAAGAAGCCTCCTGCCCTGGCCCAGTGGCTGCCATGGAGAAGAGAACTGCACCATCCCCCTGCAGAGCAGGCAGGCCCAGGCTCCCTGCCCAGGGCAGCTGCTGCAGCTCCAGGCCCCCCTTGATCCCAGCCGCGACTGCCCCCAGTTCACCACGCATGCTATTTCTGGATGCTCCTCCAGCTGCCTCCCATATCCTTCTTAATCCTTACCAGCACTTTACACTCACTCCTCATCCCCCCAGTTTCACCACATACACAGAAAGGCAGAGTTTAGGGAAAAGGGAAACAGAAGAGCAGCATCTAGGCCAGCAATCTTCTCTGAAATTATCTGTCAGCAATGGAAAGGCAGGAATTGGGCGTGGGGCAGTGACAGACAGGCTAGACAGATGTGTAGATCCCTGATGAATCCCCAAGCAAGGTGGAACATGTGGAAGAGAGATGCCTTTGGTCAGTTCCTGTGTCACAGGCAAGCCTGCCCACCTTGGGGTCAGGACAGCTGCTTGTGCCCCTCACCCCAGTGACAAGCACTCCCTGCAGGCTGAGCACACAGGCAATCCTCAGGGGCTCCCCAGGCACAGGGAGAGAGGGTTTGCCACAACACTGGCTCCCTCTTAGTGGCTTTATGACAAGATGCCATATTATTTCTCCAGGCATCATGATCCGATCATAATATCCTCATACATCAACTTCAAAATAAGCACTTCTATTCCCACCAATGCCACTCCAGTTAAATTTTTCAGTATAATTTAAAGCTATTACATCTCCCAGAGGGCTGCTATGACAAGCTCAGTGCTGCTGGTGCTATCACAAATCCCTGGAGGCAACCCTTTACCCCCAAATGATCCCAAGCCCTCACAACCAGCTAAAGCTTCAGTAAAGCTCTGTTAATTCACACCAGGCACAAGTCAGCCTTCATTCCAGAGAACACGCACAGGAGAAGGATACTGCAGCATCTTCATGTAGGTCTGTATTGCCTGGAGCCATTCTGGGATTGACATGGAGAGCTTGTAGTTTGGCACTGGTGGCACTGAGGGCTGGACACGAGAAAGAAGATGAAGAGGTTAGACAAGCACGGCTCCCTGCAGAGCAGATAAGTGATTTACTGAGCAGTGGCATGTGCTCAGTGCAACACCACGCTGCAGCACAGATGGCTTAAGCCCCACGTGAGCTCAGGCATCAGGCAAAGTCATCCTGCTGACCATAGGGGCTGCCCCAGCAGCAGAGCCTGCCCTGCCCAGAGACCGTGGCAGGCTGATCAGCAGAGCATCCCTCAAACACCCCCTATGCAGGCAGGCAGTGCAGCATAGAAAGCCTCTGCTTCCCATTCCCATCCCCCAGCACAGGGCAGTTTGGATGAGCAGAGTCCCACTACTGACTCTGCTGTGCTCCCTCCCCCTGGAAGCCATTTCAAGTCTCATTTCTGGCCTCCTTTACCACAAGAGAAAGATAAAAGGAGACAAGGATCCTGGGCTGCATAATTTCCCATCTGCCATATGTCTGCAGCACGCTTGCTGGGGAAGGGAGAGCACAGCACCTAGAAGACCACCTGGGACCCAAATATTTAATGACATTAAGACACTTAAAGATATAGACTGGCAACATAATGGGATTTTTCCAAAATCTCATAAGACATCTGCTTGTGCCTAAGCATTTTAAGAAGGCAGGCCCTCAATCCATGTTTAATCCCCACAGCTACTTGGCTCCTGAGCCTGCAGCCATGCAGGAAAGGGGCACAGCCTTGTCCCAAGTCCACTTATTTCAGGGGTGAGACTGCAAAATATGGGGTCAGCAGATATTAAAGTAGGCAGCACGACTAAAAAGAAGTCAGCACAATTCCCACAAACACAGTGGAGGAAGCAATTTGAATATTAATGCAGACTCAAATTCAGGAACCAGCAATTTGGGCAGCTGTGACAAGGTGCAAAGAAAAGTGTCTGCGGGACCACATTGGTGTAACCATAGTTTAAAGCTCATAAAGTGACATATCACTGTCCTTAATATACTTCAAGTCAGCAATTACTGATAAGAACAGCAAGTTCAGGTGGTATGGGGCATCTCTGCCACAAAGACTGTCCTCTCTAGTTCCCATCTCTGTTAAGATTGTGTGTTTGCTTTCAGAGAATGAGCACTGGTAATCCCAAGGCAACAAAACCCAGAATTTACTACACACAGCAAGTTACTACAGCAAAGCAGTAAATACATCTTGGAGAAGGAGGGAGAAAACACCAAACCAGAGACTCCTACACCCCTGGCACACAGAAACAAACTGTAAGTGGCAAGCAGATGGCAAGGCTTCCAGCTCGCCCCCACCATCCGAGTGCTACATGGTGGCTGCACACATGGGCTGTCTCCTCTCACCACTGGGAGTTATGAGCAAGACTTATTAGCACTTCTAAATCATGATTTTCATGCCTAAGCTCTTCATTAGAGGAATTTTCTTTTGGTTCCACAGGTTCCTTTCCCACCCAGCCCCTTTGGGCTGGATGAATTATTTACCTGTCCCTTCCAGCATGAAGGCACACCTGGCCTCAACGCACCAGATAAGGCTCAGGTTCCAGAAGCAGCAAGGAGCTGACAAAGGGAATTCTGGCAGGGCTGTCACACCTCCCTGGGAGGGCCATTTCTGCTCCAATACACTCAGTCCTTAGCTTCAAGGATACAGAAGCTCTAGGTGCATGCCTGCACTTACACAACACCCGAGCAATGGGAGCCCCAGCCAGTGAGGGGCCTGCAGAGGTGGGGATTCCATCCTTCTCCCAGCCCTCACCCTGCTGCGGGAGCCAGGACAGCATCCCACAGGGACAGCAGCAATGTGGACAGACACAGCCCTTCCTGAAACCCACAGAGGCCACCCTCACCAAGGGGACAGATTCAGACCCCAGGTGAGGTGCTCCCCATCTCCAGTGTAGGTGATCACATTATCCAAGGAGGTTGATGGTGTCAGATACCAGAGCATAGCCTAGAAAAGAGAACCAGGGTTTTCCCACTGGCTGGAACACATTCCAGTTACCTCAGCAGGCCTGCTGGGCCAGAAGGCTCAAGCCCCTCCAGATCTCAGGCAAGAAGGGAGGAGCATCCATAAGCCTGATCCCACACAGGGCAGCCCTGCTCTCCTCTCTCCATGCAGGGCAGGCAGGACACACCATGCTGCCAGCCAGGCCAGGCACTGGGGAGCCACACACCACTCCCACTCCCTCCAAACATGTTTCCCTCCCTGATTCTGCCTCAGTTGCAGAAGGACTGATCCTGGGCACCCACCCAGCACGGAGCAGAAGCCAGGGCTGCACGACACAAGTGCAGGAAAGCACAGCTCTGTTTCCATTGAGGATGCAGCCCTCCAGCTCCTGGGATGCATCCAGAGCAGCAAGGAGCAGGCAAGAGGTCATGGATGGCAAGAGGAAATGCAGACACAGCACTACAGAACATGAATTTGAAAAGCAAGTGAAATTCAGAGGCGAGTCAGATGAAAAGCCTTGACCTTATATCAGTCTTTCCAAGGAATAACAGCTTCAGACAGTGGAGCTGCTGCAGTGCAAGACCACGTGGCAGAGCTGGAGACTCATCCCATGGCTGGAAATGCTGTAGTCTCACTTTACCACAGACATCCTGTGTGGAACTCCTTTTGCCCAAATCCACTGTCTCACTTAATGACCAGAAAGTCATTTTCTACCAGCTCCCCCTGCAAGCACTCTGTTACTCAGCACAGATGAAGCTGACAGGCATGAGTTCTCAAAGCTGCTGAGAGGTTTAATTTATTACAATCTCCAAGTACCTCCAAGATCACAGAACAAGTAAAGGATTGCACAGCCCTTCCAAACCGTGAGCCTGCACTATTTGCAGAGCTCAAGCCAACAGCCAGAGGTGGGGACCCCACAGGTTCCAAAAGTGCCCTTGCAGACAAGCCAGCCTTGTGTAAGGACTCCGCCTCTGAGAGAGATGCAGTCCTGCACCTCTGCAGCTTGCATTTGTTGCAGTAAGGACAAACCTCACAGACACAGTCAGGAGCTACTTACACCCTGCGTGTATGATTGCTGAGACTAATGCCAAGATGATTAGAGCAATCAAGTGGAGCTTCTTGGAGAGGGGATGAAAACTCTCTCCCATCACTAGGGATTAGGAACAGATCAGATGCAGAAATGGAGCAGTTGCACATGCCACTCACTCAGCCTGAACCAACTACCCATGCAAGCAGATTACAAATCATCTTCTCACAGGCATGAGTTTCCCTCATAACTCCCAAACAGCAGCACCTGGTCTTTTGCAGGGTGACACACACCCTGCAGCACAAGCCAATTAAAATAATTTGTACCACCATTTAAGGAACAAGTCTCCACTCACATTCCTACTCTGACCCAGAAATTACCATCACAACTTTGGTAATCCACTACCACTTTGGCAAAAAAACCCCTGCCCCTAACCTTCATTTGCTCACCCGAGCTCTGTCTGCCCTAATAAGGACCAGACAGTCCTCAAACTACTCTCTGACCCCAGAGGTGCCACACTCAGCCAGCAACAACTACTTAGTCACAGAGGGCACCAGGTCCTCCTGGCCCTGAAGAAACTAATCACTGTAACAGGGATTTTGCATCCAGGCACTGCTGGAGGAGTACAACTCCTACAGCACTGGGCGCTGAGCATCAACATCAAATGATGTGGCAAGGCAGATTTCAAAACATTTTTATTCTGCCCAGCTTACACAGATGCTACAGAGAGTGATCCCAGAGCTGTGGCACTGAGCAAGAAGCCATGGGCAATGCTCTCTGGGACATTGCCACAGGAATACAGTGTGCAGGCCAGACCCTGGAGCCACTGGCATGTCTCTCACCAGATGCTCTGTCAGTCACCATGGGTGTCACCAGTAAAAGTTACATGCTCTGGAGTTGGAAAGTAAAGGATGAAAGTCAAGTCTAACACGTGCTTTGCCATCTCTTAACACCAAGTGGGCTTGCAGGCCACTGGCATAAGCTGGTCAGGCTGCTGGAACAAGAAGTTCTGCCCAGTCCCTGCCCCTTCATTTCCACCTCAAGTGCTTGTGTAAGTACAAGATGAACCACAGCAAGGAACCACAAACTCAGCATAATCTGATTATTCTTTAGCTGGATGTGCTCCCCCAGCCAAACAAAGGCTGGTTCCAACACAAGGAGAGCAGAGAGGAGAGAGATGGTCCCTTCTGCACCTGCACTGGACTGAACATTGCAGGAGAGAGATGAAAGGCCTTCTCAGCCCGCAGCTTATTTGACAAGCACCTTCTCAATACAGCCCTACACAACAAGATTTCGACTTCCCTGTGCACAGAATTTCCTTTCTACTCCATGAAAAGAACAGGCATATGGTTCATGTCAGTATCACTGACAGCTTGGACCATGACAGCAGCAGCCCAACCATCTCACCCCAGCACGCACAGGGGTATAAACCAAGCCAGACTCCAGCGGTCAGCTCACATTAATGCTGCCTGACGTGAGCAGTGAATCAAGCTCAAAGTCTGCCAAAGCAGAGAGTGTTAAAGACATTGTGAGCAGTATTGCAGCACCGTGTCAAGAAGCCTTGGAACAGCAGCAGACATCAACATTTTATTTGCAGTCTGGAAGAAAAGGACTTGGGTGAGGCAGAGCTATTTGGGGCTTGTACTGAGGAACATTCAGACAAAAGCATTTGGAATCTTTCCACATACTGGAAAAGAAATGTCTGAGTTTTAAATCCCTTGTTACATTTGAGGAGCAACGCTGTGTTTAAGGAAACACCTGTGTTCCAAAAGCAAAACAAAAACCTGCTTGAAATTGCACAAAATGCTTCACTCAGCCCCTGAAGATTTAACTTTTGTTTTCTGGTTTTTTCTCCCCAAGCTAAAAGGAGGAATTTTCTTCCTGCTTGTTCCCCAGGACACCCAGCGCATCCCCTAAGCACCCGCAGCCCCGTTCCCCGTTCCGGGCGCTTTGGGACAGCGGATACCCCGTCCATCCCCGCAGTGCCCCAGAGCATCCTGCGGGCAGCGGTGTCACCCCCTCCCAGCCGGCCCCGGAGCGGCGGACCGCGGCAGCCGCAGGACGCGGCCCCGGGGCCGGCTATCACCCGCCGCCCCGCACGAGGGACGCACGGCGGCTCCGCCTTACCCGAGCCAGGCGGGCGGCGCTCCGGATGGCCGCGGCCACGGCCCCGCCGTCGGGGTGCACCCGCTCCACGTGGCCCCACATGCGCTCCCAGGTCTGCCCGTCCATGGGGAAGCCGCTCTTGTTCACCAGGAAGAGCGAGCCGCCGTCCCGCTGCTGCTCCTGCTCCTCCTCCTCCGAGCCCCCGCCGCTCCCGCTGCCGCCGCCGCCCGCCGCCCGCGGCTGAGCGCTCCGCGACCGGCCGCCCTCCTTGCCGGCCGCCGCACGCCGCCCGCTCCCGCGGCAGCCGCCGCCGCGGCCCGCCACGCCCGTCATGGCCCCGCGGCCATGCCCGGGACCGGCACCGGGACTGGGACCGCTGCCGGGATGCGCCCCACGGCCTCGCCGCCGCCGCCCGGCCGCTCTTTGTATGTGTGTATGTATGTGTGTGTGTGCGTGTGTGCGCCTGTGAGGGGCGTGCGGAGGAGGCCGGGGGAGGGCGGTCCCTCGCTAGCGACGCCGGCCCGCTCGCTCCGGGTGCCCCGTCCCGACCCCGGTACCGGCCGCGGCCGCGCAGGGGGCGCGCCCCGCGCCGCGCGCCATGCCGCGCGTTACCGCGCGACCGGCCGCCCGCCCGCCCGCGCCGCGCTCCCATTGGCCGCCGCAACAAAGAGGGGCGGGGCCAGCGGGGCGGGGCGGGCCGCCACTGGCCGAGACGCCGCCGGGATGCGCCCCCTGCTGGACAGCGCGGGACACCACAGCCGGGTGGCGCAGCCCGAGCGCTTTCGCCCTTAGCCGAGCCGAGCCGAGCCGGGCTGAACTGAACCGTAGCTCGTGCCAGGTCGAGCCGAGCCGAGCCGAGGCAGGTCGAGCCCAGCGCAGCCGAACCCAGCAGAACCGAGCCCGGCCCCTCCGAGCGCGGCGATCCCCTGAAGCCGAACCCAGCCCAGCGCAGCCCGAGCCCAGCCGTGTGTCCCGGTCCCCAGTGCGGGATGGAGGCCCGAAGATGGAAGTCCGCCTCGGAGAGAGCCGGGCTGTTCGCTCTTCCCAGCAGAGCTGGGAGATCCCTGTTAAGCGCGCAGCGGTGCGGTGGTGACAGTGAGATCCTGAAGGCAAAGCGCCTGTGAGGGGAGGGCAGAGGAGCCCCAGGCCCGGCACAGACCGCCCTGGCCGTGCTGCCCGCTCCGGCGCCCACCGTGCCCTGATGGCTGTGGCCACGCTCGGACGAGAATTTTCAGCTCTTCATGTCAAGCACAACAGTGTCAGTGTAATAATGCATCTCCTAGAGCTGTGAGTGACCCCCCCATCAGATACAAGTAGTGTGAAAAGCATTGCTCCCATCCCCTGACTGTGTGCTCAGACACTGCTGCAGCTCCCAGACAGGAATAAATTTCTGCCGTCCCTAATCAGCTTCCCAAGGCTCTCAGGAGCCAGGAGTGCATGATGAGTTGCTAATCACTCTCCACAGGAGCCGGTGTCTCTGTGAGTCCTAGCAGTAATCCTCCCTGCTGTCCCCTGGCCACATGGCATGCCAGAATCTCATCGGGGGCTTTAACAGAAGGGAGGACAGCGAAAAGCTGCTCCATCAGCTAAAGCAAATCAGGGGCTTCAGCTTACACGGCTTGCCCAGTGTCAGCTTTCAACCCAGTGTAGAAACCCCCCGAGCTGAATGTGGGGCTCTGTGTGTAAATGGCAACACAATCCGGGGGAAAGGGGCAAAGGTCAGGGTGGATTTAGAGCTGCTGTGAAGTCTTCACCCTCCCCACTATGTCCTGCATTTCCCTAATCATCAAGCACACGCTGCAGATGGAGGGAAAATGTGCATCCATGCTGGGCAGAGATGATACATACACTCACACCCACACCCTGGGTTTGGAAGCAGGATCCCTGGGGAAGTACAATCTCTCCTTCTGGAGCACAGATGATGCTGAACATCAGCAAGATGTGAGAGCACCAAGAGGAGTTCCCAATGGGGGATGATGAAACACAGAGACCTAGAGAGGCTGCAGATGGCTGCAGACACAGAGGAGAGGGCTCTCAAGGCGCCAGGGGAGGCTCAGGCAAGACAGTGCAAGGGAAGGAAGGCCAAGAAAGCCTGTGAGTTCACTGGAGCAGAACCAGGGGAAAGCCTGAAAATCCTTTGGACCTGGATCTTAGAACTCATGGGACAGTGCAGGTGGTGGCACCCATGTGTGAGCAGCTGAGGGGCACACTGCATGTGCCAGAGCCTGGAGTGCTGGGATTACACAGCACAATGTCACCCTCAAGGATGCTCATACACAAGCTGGCTGTCATGTATATCCCAGAGCCTTGCTCCCTGTTGGAACAGGCAACCATGCTGAGGCTGTCACAGCCCTGCTCAGTGCTGCTTCACTGCCCAGAGCAGCCAGGAACCTTCAGATCATGTTTCCCTACACACACCCACTTGTTAGCCACCCTGGGAGGGTGAAGGTTAGAGCAAAGATTTGCAGTTCAGAGCCTCCTGCATCCACCATGTCAGGATGTGCTCCATGCCAGAGGGAAGGACTCTTCCCTGGCCAGACAGGTGAGGGACTTGGCAAGGTCAAGCCCCTCACCTGGAGCTTGGACACCACAGCTCTGCTCACAGCAGCATCCAGACCACTTCCAATCAGGACTGAAAGAAGGAAAATTCTTACCAGCTCCTCCCTGATGCTCAGGTGAAGAGTGACAAGTTGAACTCCCAGAGGTCAGTCAGTGTGTCCAAGGCCAGCTGTGGGCAGGCAGGGCAGAAGTTACCTGGGGTCCTGGAGCTAAAGGCAACTTCAAAGCAACAGCCTAAGGAAATTGAGTCCCTAAGTCCCTACAACTAAGGGAAAGTCTTAATAACCTTCTCACCAGCTACAAATGAGGTGTAAAAATAGAATAATGCTGCTTTGGATTAGCCAAAGCTCTCCCTGGTATTAGTTATGAACACATTTACTCAAGATGAGTAAAAGCAGGATGGGATATGCATCATGCCCCCAGCTTTCACCTGATGGGGCCACTTGATTTTGATACCGTGACTCTGGGCAGAGCTGCCTTCCTCCCTGCTCTGTTTGCAGGTCTTCCTCTCACACCAGGCTCCTGCCCAGCCTCTGTCCCAGTGTGCCAGACCCGTTTGACTTTGAAATTCAGTCCCTTTGTATGGATGTACCTTTCTAAAGCTAGCTCTGAACAACACTTCCATCTACAGTCCTACTCCTAGTGCAAAGCTCATTGCTACCACAGCTGCTTTCTGGGTCAAAGGAACTAATTTGATCCTAGAATCATCATGTAAGAGGGTTTTAACCTTCATTATTTCCAATTGCAGACTCATTTAAATGCAGCATTCAAAAGGCCCTGCAGTGCAATTATACAACCAAGTGCAGGAAACTTAATAGCTCTTAATTTGCACCATGGCAGCAAGGTGATAGCAGCATTGGCACTTTTTCCAAGCAGGCTTTTTCTCCCAAGTGCCACCCCCACATCCCCACGAGGAGTCCCACTATGCTCTTCCTCTGAGATCAAGCAGCAGTGAATTCAGCCTGGCCACACAGCAAACCCTCACTGCCCTGTGCTGTTGAGCAGAGGAAGTTCATTCATGTATTTATTTGGACTTGTCTGGGAAAGCACTTCCTCTATTACCCATTGTTTCCAAACAGCCCTTCTGGTGCGAGGAGCCAGCAGGAGTAGGCTTTCCTGGGCAGCAGCTCCAGCCTGGCCCGGCCTCAGAAAAGGGAGCTGCAGCCAGGCTGGGGAGGGATGACTGGTGTCATTTGCTGTCCCATGGCCTGTGAGGTCTCATGCTCCTGCTTTGCTGCTTGGATATTCAGTGGTTTTCTGCTCTGCAGATCTTTTGCCAGCACAGCTCCAGCCTTTTCTAAGATCTTTGTAATGCCTTGTCCAGACTCTGCTATCAACAAACCCTGTAATGTGAAAATACTTCTCGCTGTGAACAGGAATGCCTCTCTGTGCTACCAGGGCCACAAGGGGGGCAACAAACCCAGAAGTGAAACAAGACCAGCAGCAAAAGAAGGGCTGGCAGATTGCCCTTTCCCCTGCCCTGCCTGGCCAGCCCTGGCCCTGCAACCTTGGAGCCCTCCAAGCCAGGCCATGCAGCAATTCCCCGGGTCCCAATCCACAGCAGACCCTTCTCAGAGCCACAGCCGTGGCACACAGCTGGCCCTGGTGCATTTGCTTTGCAGGCAGGCAGAGGGCAGCTGCTCCAGCCCAGCCAGCAGGAGCAGGAGACAGTTTTGTTCCAGCCCTCCTACTGTGAAAAATGCATATTTTATTATTGGATTTTCACAAATATTCAAATGAATATTATATGTGTTATGTTAGAAAGTAATGCTGTATTAATTTTTTTAGTAGTGTGTTAAATATAGTTTTAGGCTATAACAAAATGTTAAAATAGAAACTATGATATATAAGATACTTTTTTTTAAGGAAAGGACTCACACCAGATAGCAGCCACAGGACACCTAAATCTTTCAGAGAAAGAGAATTTGTTGCCCCATTATCAGAAGAAATGAACTTCTTCCCTCTTTGCTCAGCCATGAAGACGCCATCAGGATTCAGAAGAAGAAGTTACTGACCAGAGAGAATGCTGTGTTTGAATGGAATTTATGCATCATGTGTGAGATGTATGAATATGCAACGGGCTATTGCTTTTAAGGGTTAATCCTCTGTTAAGAGGTGTCCTTTTTTGGGCTTATGGTGCCCAGAAAAAGGTACCTGGATGTCTGTAACTCTTTGTTTCTGTTGTCTCATATTGTCCTAATCCAAATTGTCCAAATTGTTATTACTCTAACTATATTGCTATTTTTGTAACCATTTTATAATCCTTAAACTTTTAAAACTAAAAAAAAAAAAAAAAAACAAAAACAAAAACAAGTGATTGGCGTTTTTCACACTAGGAACAGAAGTTTTCTTTTGTGCAAGAAGGGAGTGTTCAAATCTGCTGCCATCCAAGGCAGTGCTGGGAAGCAAAAGCTTGTTTATCTTCTCCTCCTTCCTTCCTTCCATCAGATGGTAACAGGACAGATCCAGACCTGGGCTGTTTCCCGGGTCAGTAAAGTGGGCAGTATCGCTCTACCAGTATCAGTTACTGGTGGAGCAGGAAATGTGCCCAGCACCTCCAGCTAGCAGCACTCAGTGCAAAAGCCTGAAGCCAGGATACCTTCCCAGTGAAAGAGTCTGATGTCTTTACAAACAATTTTATGGGTGAAGGTGTGGATGCTAACATCTTTGAAAAGGGGCTCAGTGTCTCTGCTAACTGTGGGCAGCAGGTTCCTTGCAGAGCCCTGACAGCTCAGACACTGAACCAAACAAGTGGGATCTGCACAAGCCTGAGT